AACCTCAAAAAAATATTCTATAATATTTATTATATCCCTAAGAGCTTTAACCTATATTTTTAATCCATCATATCATCAGATTAACTATCCTATAGAAAAATTTTAATCAGAATATTTACTCTATCCTACAAAATAATCGTATCACTAGAAAGCTAATATTATTTAGAAAATAACTATAAAATTAATTTTATAATTAAATAAATTTTTAAATGCTAATCTAAACAGGAAAGTTGGAGTATACCTGAAGAAAAAAAAACTAATTCCCCCTTGCAAGAAGACGCCGAGGAACGTGAGAGGAAGAGATAAAAATAATATAAAAATGAGATTTTGAGTCCCACAATTATATTAAAAAAAATATAGGTCTGAATTTAATTATTCAAACCTTTGGCCCATTACTTGCAATTTTCACAAATTGCATCTTGGGTCATTAGTTATAATTTTCACAAATTACATAAATTTTCTTTTTGCCTTCTTCTCCACGCTCTCATTTTCTTTTATATGTGAGGAATCCTTTCCTCGTCCCACGTCTAACCGATGTGGGACTAAACTCTTTTTTTTTATTCTTTTTTTTTCCACATTCACACATAATTTATATATATATATATATATATTTTAAATCTTAAAATTATATTTTAACTAAACATTTCTTATGTAATTTTAAACCTAAGTTTTTAATTCATAATTAAATGCCTAACCATATTATTATTTTCAAATAATCTCAAATAATATAAATTCTATTATTATCATTTTTTTAATAAAACTTAAATTCCATAAATATTTTTTTATCTAAAAATTAGGATGTTACATGAAGCTAAAATCCTGAACAAATGAGGAGGCTCCTCAGAGGAGCTAAACTCCTAAACAAATATTGTTCGACTGGCTGTGAAAAGACGGCATGTTAGAATGAAGAAAACTTATAATTTAAACTTGACTACTCAAGATTATAAGCCATCACACTCACCAACTCACGTGAAGTCAATAACAGAAAGTCAATAACAGAGGAGGGGAGACAGCTGAAGGGAAGTTAGGGCAGGGGCGATTGGTTGTGGCTAGCATGGCAACTGGCGAAGGAAAACCAAAGAATGAGAAGCAAAGTGCCAAAGTGTAGAGGATGAGAGGATGAGAGGTAGCTCGCAGCTTGGCACACACTACACACTACTCAAGACTTGTTTAGGGCACAGTTGAGACTTTCACTGTCTCACACTTGGACGACAAACGAGCAGAGGCGCAAATCTTAGCTAATTACGTCATCACAAGTTGAATGCTTGGGCCTTAGTTTTGTCTTTTTTTTTTTTTGAAAAATTACACCCCAGCCCAGACGACAAATGCACCCCAACCCAGCATTGAATTTCTTTTTTAAATATAAATGGATCGATATAGGCCACTCATAACCTTACCCATTACTCGCTTGTTTATTAATATATGACTGTATACCTGCCCTTAAAATAAATAGGCATGGATTGACCCGTTTCAATATAGGTCGGGGGTATGTGGGTTTTCAAGTAAATTGCACACCTCTAGTTGAAATTAAGCCGCCGCGTCGATTAATGAAATTATCCCTTTTTCTTGGCTCGCCAAACTCCAATCGACCTCACCCAACGCGCAACCTCACGCCGCTTCTCCAGCCTCCGGTCATCTTCCATCTCTCCACCTCAGGCCGTTGCTCCGCTCACATTTTTCGCCTAGTGGCGGTGGTCAATCGCTAGTTAAAGCTCAAAGTGGCGATCGCTTTCGGCCGTTCGCGTTTTCGCCTTCTTGGGTCGCTCAGTGCCTCAGTCGAGCTCAGTGCCTGTCAAATCTTGACTCTCATCATCGTATTTTGAAGAAAGTGTGAACGCTGGACCTTGCGTCTTGCTGCCTTTGCCTACTTTACATCATGAACGTGAACATTATCTTCGGCCAGCTCACTAAAAGGAGGGACTTGTTCGGTTCGTTGGCCGGCTTTTCTACTCAATCTTTTATCTGTAGTATGGCTTTCTTCTAGCTATTTATATTTGTCTGCAATCGTGAGTCTTTTCTGACTTTTGATGACCCATTGTTGCATTATGGCTATGGTGTCAGTTTGATGTGAAGTGAATCGACAGTTTTGAATTGTTATACTCATATATAATTGTGAACAAGGAATTTGTGTCTGTAAGATTAGTTCTCATCGACAATAATCTATGTTTTTCATGTCGCAAAAACAAATGACATTTCTTTGTGATTTGTGACTTTTGTTCCCTCCCCTACTAAATCCTATGCCACTGAGTTGATCTAGATTGTCTAAATTTATTGTATAATTTTTGTCTGTTTCAAAGTTCTCGAAAAGTACCCCACTGGCTCCGTCTCCAAGCTTCAACATATCCTCACCAGCATTGGCGAGAAGCTAGAGCCTGCTAAGTTTGATGAGTGAATCAGGGAATTCAACGTGGGTTCTGATTGTAAGATCCATTACGAGGATTTCATTACTAGAATGGTCGCTAAGTGAGATTGTTTTGCAATTTGTCTTGCTTAAGTGCTTCTGTTCAATGTTTGCTTGAGTAATTGGCTGTCTCTTCCTTCTTTCTTCTTTCCCTTCCTTTGCTGTATTTCCTAATTTAGGTCCGTATGGGTCTTTTGTCTGGGTTGTATTATGTTATTTCCGCTTTTTTCCATTTCGTTTTGGAACAAATTAACCGAGCTATGCTAATTGTAACCTGGAAAAGTTAGGTCTTGAAGAGTTTCAGCTTTCCTTGGGTAACAGTCAGTCTTCATGGTCCTTCAATTTGCTTTCTTGAATTTGTTTGGCTTATTTTGTATGATGAGATCTAATGATTATGGATGTTGTAATGGACTAATTGGTGCTTATCTTTACATGTAATCCATTCTGCATTATCATGTGAAACCTCTATCAGTGAAATGGAATGATTCAGTATGCTGTATTCTCAACACTTCTGATGCACAGCGTGGAAGCATAACACTTCCTTAAGGTTCAATTGAGGGAGTCTAATTGAAAGGATCCAAGTCCTTCACCATCTTCGCTCCAACAAAATTATCCTTGCCAACTCAGAGAATGTGGAAGCAATGAATCATCTCAAAACCTATATAATATTTCCCAAATCCTTTGTGTGCAATTGCAGAACCTTCCATCACACCTCGCCAAAACAATTTCCTGACCACGAAACCCATTTCAAACATGCTATGGTCTCTCTCCCCAAGTTGCGGCCAGTTATCCGATTCCAAGGGCCTGACACCTTGAAGTTCCTTCAGGGGCTGGTAACCAACGATGTACACATGTTTGGTGAACCCATTAGTGAAAAAACCGCTAAGTTGCCTGCACCTAATGTGCCAGTTGTGTCAGCTCTGCCTGTATATGCTGCGCTTCTAACCCCTTAAGGCCGATTCCTTTATGATCTTTTTCTCTATAAGCCGCCTAGGCCTGAGACGAAGCTTGATAAGACTGGAACAGGACCTGGGACTGACTCTGATGAACAGTTTAATTTATTTGCTGATGTGGATGCTTCAGTATTAGATGAACTTCTGGAAACCATGAAGAAGTGAGTTTCTTGTCACTATAAGTTTATTCACTTATTGTTCATCACAGCTTTTAATGAGGTTTTGAAACCTGCCAATCAGTTGTTAAGATTGATTTTTTTTTTTAAGCTTTGCAAAATGTTACCTTAATTATGGTTATTGATTTGTCTCTATGAATCTAATTTTTGAAGAAGTTAAGTTACTGCAAATTCTGCTTTGTATGTTTACTATTATGTCTTCTCTCAAAGAAATTTTTTAAAATTCAGTTTAGAAATCTCGGATCTAGCAACTTTTAGTTCAACTATCATTTTGCTTATGAAATGTGTCAAATGTTGCTGCTTCTGTGTTACTGATGCGAGGGTTAGAAGATGAAAGAATTTAAATCATCTATGATCAGGATTCTGAGATAATATTATTTGCATTTTTCCCCCTTTGTTTTAGCACGCAAGTTCTGTTGCATTGGGTTTGGCTACTACTAAAATACATGTGTTTAGTGATTGTTTTTATTAGATTTACTTGGGGGAAAAACTAACTTGCAAGATTTGACAGTTTTGATTAATATTATTAACTTATGTTTTATAGAACTTGAAAAATTTCCTATTTACTTTAGTTGGTAACTAGGCAAGTTTTTTTTTATACATGATACAAAATTTGAAGGTTGAGTCACATTTTTCATGGGATATGAATAAGGCTTGCTATAGATTTGAGATCAATAACGTAATATTGGTAATATGAAAATAATTACATCCAGCCACTTATTGGTAGGATATCATAAGTTAAATTGATTTGCTGTGTCATTTATTCCTGTTATGAAGCTTGATGAGTGGTTAGGTTACATAAGAGGAAGACTTTATGACATGCTAAGCATCTAGATTTCAACATGGTCAGAGCAAGTCATGTTACACAATTTGTTTGTAAATTAATCAGAAAACTTACAAGATTGTATTGCAGAAACCTAAAATTTTGGTGCCACAGATTCTGGTTGAGGTCTAAGGTTGAGATTGATAATGTCACTGAAGATTTCTCATGCTGGCAACGCTATGGTCCTGCCCTTTCTGAGAAGCTGCCAGATGCGGATGAACCAGAGGACGCTTATGTTGGCTGGGGTGCTGGTTTGGATCGTTCTGCAACATCAGCTTTGTGCGGGAATAATCTTGGGTGGCAATGGTTTAAGGACCCTCGATTGGACTGTCTTGGTTTTAGAGGGATCTTCCCATCTAATATAACACGTAAGTTATCTTTTTTTTTTTTTAATCCTCTTTGTAAGATTTCTATCATATATGGCTGCAATCTTTATCATTTCAACTATTTACAGTTATCTTGCTTAATTAATTCCCCCTCATTTAACCTGTTTCAGCACCTATGGTTGAGGTTGACAAAGAAACAGATGAAGAGAATTATCTTTTTTGGAGAATAAAATGGGGAGTTGCAGAGGGATCAACTGAGATCAAAATGGTGGACATTTATTTCTAACAGTAATCATTTTTTGGGTCAATCAATCCGTTGGTATGTTAAATGTTGCAAATTATGTCCAGGTGAGGCAGTACCACTTGAGTATAACCTTGCAGGCCTCAATGCAATTGGTTTTGACAAAGGTTGCTACGTGGGGCAAGAGCTCATAGCTCGGACGCGTCATAGAGGGGTGATTCGCAAGTGTATAATACCTTCAAGATTTATCACTAATGATGGTAAATGTAACGTTTCAGGACTTGCTTGGCTTCTGTAGGATTATCTATTTTAGAGATCTACTGAGCTGTTTTTTCTTTTGATCCTCCAGAAGTAGAAGACAAAGTTACTTCAGGCTCAGAAATAATTGACCCTACGAGTGGCAAGAAAGTTAGTTTCGTCAATACCACCTTTGGATGTTGTGGGCTGGGACTTTTGCGAATGGGGGCAGCTTTTAAAGGTCAGAGCACTTTATCTGTAGAGGGTCAAGATAATGTGAAGCTTGAGGCTGTTCGACCAAAATGGTGGCCTTCTGAGTGGCTTGAAGGTCAACGACATCACACTGCTTTTGCCTAGGATATTCAAGGCCTTGCCGTTATTCAATCCTTGAACACCATTATTAGCCTCATCAAAACTATATTTGGAGAGACACGAAGATGGCTGTGGGGGTTTTCTTGTGAAATAAGTTTCAGTAAGGGAATTGTGGTCTACCGCTTTGCCTTTGAGTTCTGGCAAGAACTTAAAGGGATCTGAATAATTTTGTACAGAGATATTAGAAACAAATCATGTTTCGAAGATTTTTTAGCTGGCCTATCTTGAACTTATATTTTGTCAATTGCTGGTAGGAATGAGGATGGCATTCACCATGGAAAGTTGAATAAATTCATAATAAATCTATTGGTGTTTTCATTGCTTTAATGTCCACTGAGGAAGATAATAATATTAAAGCCAAAAATGTGAAAGCCGATTGTTAATACATGCTTCTTGAATGAATTGAAATTAACAGAGAACGGCGGATTGAAATTAATCTAGACTTGGTGTAAATAAGCTTCAAACTTCTTTAGATTTTATGGACTCATGTTCTCAAAGCCTGACCCTTGACTTCGTGACCTTAGAGTTAACCTTGCAAAAATTAAGGACCTTTAAATTTTTTTTAAATGTCTTTCTTTTCTTAAATAAATACATAAAATATAACAATAGTAAATGTCATGAAGTTCCTAATTCAAATAATAAATATTAGAAAATTAGTTGGTAAAAAAATGTATATTAGACAATTAAAGTGTCAAACCATTATCCCAAGCTAAATAAATCAAACAATTCTTCTCTAAATCTCAATAAGACAACTTAAAACACGTAAGACAACTTAAAAAAAAAATCTCAAGTTATGTGTGTGTGTAAGTATAAAAATAAAATACTCTCTTAGTAAAAAAATATATATTTTAGAAATATTAATAGACAATATAAGCTAAATCATTATCCAAAGTACAAATCAAACAATTTTTTAAAATTTAAATAAATAAATCATTTTAAAAACTAAACAAACCATACCATTATGCTAAGCAGTATGGGCTTGGCCTTTATAGGTTCAAACCCTTAAGCTCAATTTCTCAAAAATTAATTGATTTATGAAGTCTAACTCTTTTGCAAAAGTCTCAGGGCCAAGCCTATAAGCCCGTTATTGTTGTTGTTTAGATTTTTAAAAATTAAAAATTTTAATTATAATATTTCATATTTTTAAAATATAAATTATAATATTATAAAATTAAAAATAAATAATAGAAAATATAATTTTAAAGCATAAACATATATTTTAAATTTTAAATTTAATTTAAAAAATGAAATATTTTATTCTTTTAAAGTTAAAATGAAAAAGGGCTTAAAAGAGCTACCCAAGTTGGTGCTCATTTTTTTTCAGGGCTTACTAGGACCGAACTTCAAAACTCAATTTTCTTAAAAAATATCATTTAAAAACTCAAACTCTTTTTAAAATGATCTTAAACAAGCGAACTGTTAGGCATATGCAAAGTCTTCTCCACAAGGGGAGCAAAAATGGAAGGTTCAAAATAGGGCAAGTTGTGTAAATGGCATTAGGCAAAGTGGCTCGAAATTTGCTTAGCTATTATATGCAAACAATGTTATTGTCCAAAAAGCTGATTGCTGAGATTGATAAAGAGTGCAAACACTTTTTGTGAGGTGAAACTAGTGAGAATAAGAAGTTACTTTTGCTTGCTTGGAAGGATAAGATAAGAAGAAAGGAGGTTTAGGCATCAAAGATCTTAAGATCCAAAAAAAGCTTTCATCTTCAAGCTTTGTTGGAAGTTTCTTAACAATGATAAGTCTCTTTGGGTCCAGGTGCTAAAAGCTAAATATAAGTGTGGTGTTGGTGCTGTACCAATAATGAAAAAGAAGGCAAACGTGTCACTGACTTGGAAAAGTATTGTTAACTGTTGGGAAAGTTTTACTTAGGGAGTGGGGAAGAGAGTTGGCAACAATCAATCTATAAAGTTCTAGATTGATTTGTGAGCTCCTTTTGATGTACCCCTTAGCTCGTCTAGCTATGAATGATAGCTTTGAGGTAGAGGCACATGTTGATGAGAATAGTGGTTGGAAACTTGACAAAATGGGGTTGTGGCTACCTAGTAACATGTTTACAGTATTGCTCATACTCGTAGCCCGAGAGTTAAGAGAGGAGAGGATTCATTTATATGGAAACCATCTTCGGATTGTAATTTTAACATTTCTTCTGCATATAAATTTCTAGTTACAAGTACACCATCAATGGCAGGAGAGATTTAGAATAAGATCTGGAACTAGAATGGACAAGAAAAAATAAAGATTCATGTGTGGCTTTTGGCTCAAGATAGATTACACAGGACTACATTAATAGTTCAACGTGGTTGTGGGAAATTTGATCGATGTCTGTGGGAGTGCAACCAAAGGGAAGTTGTAATGCACCTAGTTAGAGACTACTCGAGAGCCAAGGAACAATGAAAGAGATTAATCAAAGCTAAGGCGTGGCGTAATTTTAAGAATTACAATAGAGTAGACTGGGTACTTTGGAATTTGAAACACTCTATAGAGAATGAAAATACAAGTCAATTACCTTAGAATGTTTTATTTGGATATGTTTGTTGGGATCTCTAGTGTTCTAGATGTAAAAAAGTGTTCTCACCAGAGGAGGAGATGGAGGAGAAACAACACCTTGACATTATTTGAAGGGTGCAGAATGATCTAAATTTGCAAATATCTTTATCTACAAAATTCCACGTGAAAAGAAGAAGTAAAAGTCAGTCGATTAGGCCTAAAGGTTCTGCTGTGAGGCTTGATATAGACGGATCATATAAAGAAGATATCTCTAGATGTGGTGGTGTATTAAGAAACAACTTTGCCAATTAGGTTGCTGGATTTAATTCAAATGAGAGAAACTTTTCCTTGACCATTACTGAAATTATTGCTATTATCTAAGATTGAAATTCTGTTCACAAATGGATCTCCATCACATTAATGCATTTATTGATTGTGCAGAGACATTGAATCTTATCACTTGGTCTTATTTATCCATGCATCCCTTTAGAAATCTTATTAGTTATGCTAGATTCCTTTTGTTTAAGAGTAGTTTTGTTACACTTTCATTGATGTTTAGGGAGACTAATGTTTGTGCTCATATGTTAGTCACTAATAGACCTAATTTATTAGGATCTTTTTGTTCTTCAACTTTGAATCCAACAAAAAAAAAAAAAGTGGCTCGAAATTTTCAGGTTGATGAGCTTATCAACCTCTCGACGAAATTTTCAGCTTCTACCGGCACACCGAACACTCTAGTTACGTTGAAGCATCTCTTGCCATTTTTTTTTTTTTCAAGCATGAATTGGATTTCACTGTATCCAACACGATCTAAGAAGAAAGAATCTTTTGTTTTTTCAGGTTCAAAACCATATCCAAAGAAAATAGATACATAAATCCATCGCCATACGAATTTATAATGATAAATATGCGAAATCTATATTACATGGATTCAGCTATAGTACAGGGGTTCGGCAAGAAAAGTAATACTATAGTACAGTCAGGTGCATATGAGCATGGCAAAATCGATGCCGAGCTAATAAGAACTACAGCATCATCGTCCAACAGTTTGAGCATCATAGCGCACCAAACACCAGAATAGATGCTGCTAGGGTAAGACCAAGGCTTGCAACATTTGTCCAGGCTGCTGAATGAGATGATGGTGCTGCCGGACCTGGTGCCGTCGGAGCTGTAGCTTTTGGTAAACTGATAGCAGCTGGAAGTGGTGGTTCAACAACTTCTGAAACCTCAAGAGGTGGGCGTGGTGATTCTGCTGGTGGTTTCATTGCAGGATCAAGTGAATTGAGTAGATCTCCAGGGCTTACTTGTGAAAATACAAATCCTCCCGGTGAAGATGGGTTAGAATCGCTACATGCGCTCCCTGTATTGCATTTATTGCACGAAGGTTAATCAATATGTGAAATTGTATATTTGTTTGTTTCTTGTGATGAATGATGCTATATGAGTAAGATTGGGAGAGTAGGCAAGGGGAACTGATGGTTAAATAGCATGATTTTTTGTTCTCTGTCGCAGAGAATTTCTTCTTATGTTTTGAAATTAGATGATTTTACAATGTGATGGAGGGATGACATGGAAAGATATTGAAAAACTCGGTTCAAAATATTTTGTTACTAACAAAGAATAGATTTCATTGAATATTTCCCACTTCCAGATGTATTTTCAAAGACACATCTTGATTATTTTTGAACGTTTGTCTTGTTATGTTTCATTAAGAATTAAAATGTGGAGAATTCTTTTTAAAACTTTTTGGTGGATAATATTTTTTTTTAATTTTAAAATATTGGAGGGCAAAATACTTCTTTTCTGCAATTTTGTCCCATGTCTATGTGGTTGCAGGGAGTGAGACTTACACAAGAATCGACTAGCAGTGCCTGGAAACTCAGTTACGACCCCATCAACTTTAATAACTTGGAAGAAAGTGCCAATTTCCATAAGAGGATCTGCTACATAGTCAAATGGCAGGGTGGAGTACTCATTTTTCATGAGATGGACGAACACTGTGAGGTTTGCTGCTTTCATCTCTTGAACAATACTTGTCACCCCTGTAGTGAAGAAATAAGACACTCTAACAATACTTGTCTTAGGAAGATTTACTGCATCCGCATACTTCTTGATTTCATCCACTGTCTGCTTTGGTGCATCCCCTATTGCATCGTCAATTAGGTACACTGTTTTGTAAATGGGTTATCCTTAAACTTGGCAAGCACTGCAGTGTCAACAGATTGGATCAGAACTTGTTTTGTGGAATTCTTGTCCAAGGTTGCATTGCTCAGGGCTGCACTCACAGAACCTACTATGTCAAGACCCTTCTTTGATGCAAGGTAGGCAGCATTCTGTTAACAATGGGTTAACATAAATTTGGATTAGGAAGGATGGGAAGGAGGGATGTACATATTTAATTTGGAATAAGTTCAATGAAAAGATCTTGGTTAAATCTTCCCTTCGCTTATTTTCAACCCAAACACAACTTCAAGGAGAAACGCTTCAGGGAGTTGAAAAGTTTCTCACCTGTATGTCGATTAAAATGCCAGTGGGTGCCTTTGCCTTGGCAAACTCCAGAAATTCAGCTAGGGTAACAAAATTACCACTATTCTTGTACCCTGGGTTCCTCAAAAAGTTACCATTATTATCAGCGAAAGGGCTAACCATTTGAGCTGAAACAAGAAATTTACAAAGTAAGTTCAATGTTCAAATATAGTAGAGGGTAGCATGTATTTATGTGAATTGAGTTTCTTCTAGTTCTATAGAAGCGTATTACGTCTCAATGTTTGAATCTCGCTCCATGTAAGATCAAAGGAGAAAATCCCTTTCTGTGATTGAATTTCTGGGACATTGGAAGTTAGAGGCAAGAATTTTGTCATTGCAGTGGTGCTTGCCATTAGGTCTGCACTACCCATGCAGAAGGCAACTCCATCTTTTGTCATTTGAACTGAGCAGTCTATAATGTCAGCCCCATCATCTACTGCTTTCTGATATGCAAGATCTGTGCTTCCTGGATAAATACCAGCTGCTCCATCGTGGCTTATGACCAAAGATGGTCCTGCAAATGCATATTGAGATATTATAGCTTGTCATTGATTTGTCCTTTTTTTATAATCTTAGCTTCTCTAATTTTGAAGATTAGCAGTGCACCTTTATTTTGCTTGTCATTGTTTGATAAGCATGCTGCAAAATGAATAAAGATGTCAGGATTTGACTTGAGCTCAGCACAGGTTGGTGGTCTCCCAAGATTTGCTAATAAATAAAAGGCTAAAGTTCAATGATCTTACCAACAGCTTCCGATGCTGTAGAAGGGAAATCAGTGATAAAACCATCAACAGAATCACTGTTGCTGATAAATTGCAGGTATTCCATAGAAGGATCATAGCTATAATTATAATTTGAGATCATGTCATTAGCAAAACCATAAACATATACTTCGAGCCCTAATTTGTGAGCATCAGCTACAAGTGTTGAGGGTGGCCCCAAATATTTATCTGGTTTTACTGGCCAGATATAATCTTTCGGGACCATTATCCCCGATGCATATGACTTGATAGCTGCAAGATCCTTCACTATGGTGCCATATGTCTGCTTGGTTGTGGGTTCAACATCAGTAGCAGCGTGAAACTGGAAGATAACCTTAGGAGCTGGCTTTTTCACTAACCCATTGATGGTTTTCAAGAAACCAATTTCTGCAGATGAAAGGAAGTCTACTTTTACTGCTCTCAATGTGTCTGTGACGTAATCTACCACCTTTATTCCCAGTTGGGTGTAGAATGCTTCATACTACAGAAGAAGGATGAATTACTATCACACAGTGCTAAAGAATTTTGAATCTTGAATTTTCACATTCATTTGGAATCGGGGGAGGAGAGGAGAACCTGAACATTCAACCAGAAGATGGAGATATTATAACTTCGCAAGCTATCAGGAGTGGCAATTGGGAACAATCCATCATACTGGTCCGGTCGAGAAAATATTGACTGACTTACTGTACAAGGCATGTAAAGAACAAAAATATTAACTCAGAGCCTTAAATTGATAAGTACATGCTACAAGCAACGTGTCAAATTCTATCTATTCAATGGCCTTTCACCGAGGCATCATCAGGTATGTGATTCCCAAGCATGACGGTTCTAAATCTTGTAGTTGATTGGCCATAAGATTTTTTAACCATAAAACATACGTAATGTGCTGAGGAATTGTTATTCACAAAGAATCCAACATTAAGAGAGTATCCTGTTGCTAACAATGGCATTGTATATCTCTATATACTTCTTTATGGTTATAGCATGGATTTTTTTTAAAGGACATGAATGATACTCAGTCATCATAGTGAGGACGAGAAATTGTTTTCAAGACTCACATGAAACATTCTGGTATAGCGAATCAGCAGTATATGCCACTGAAAACCATCCTGTGATGTCCTTGCCATAAAAATTGAATGTTTTTCGGCCTTGAGGGTCAAAGCCTGCAATATTTGTCGCATTGTCAAGCTTAATATCTGTGAGGCACAGGCCAGACCCATCTTTTGTCATCTGAAGGTTGCACAAGAAACCCAAATTTGGCACACTAAAGGCCTTTCCCATTTCAATGGCCAATTCACTTCCTTCTGGGAAAAGTCCTGATAACCCGCCACGCCCAATGACCAGGGGCTGATTGCCTACATGCAAGTTCACAAGAAGTCATACTAGCTGAATGTTTCATAATTCTCTTGGAAATGATGGTCATGTGACACACACTTTAGTTATACTTGATTGTTTGATATATATGTCCATCATGACAATATTGTTATCTTGCAATGGGGATCCAAATTTTTGCCAAAATGTGAAAGCTTTTGTTAGTTTGTAATTCTAAAAGGTAAAGAGTTAGAGAAACAAAATCCCCTGAATACCGCTTAATGTTGACCACTTTCGAGCAGGGACAACAGGACCAGGAGTTTGTGGGGATTTTTGATGCTGAGCCACTGTGCAGTGGAACAACAAGGAAATGAAAATCAAGCCTTTAATCATTTTGTTCGTGACCTGACACATTCAAAACCCATTGCAGATGTCAATCGAATAATATTAAGAAATTCAAAACACATTAATAATTTCATATAAAACAAACACCCTATGCTCAATCAGATGATTTAGATAAATTATGAGAAGAATAAATTGTCTCATAAATGCTCGCTTAACTATCATTTTTTATTGGAAAAAATGGTTTGTTTTCCATCTGTCAAAAATTTTCTTTTATTTAAAGAAAAGATATTGTGAAAATGCATAACCCGAAATCAAAAATAATGATAATGTTGAGAAGACTTGAAGCTTGAAGAAAAAGAAATTAAATTTATTTTGAATATAACCACAAATTTGATGAACAAACTCAAGAAACATGAAAACCCAGAAGCATAATGACTTAATGAGAAGAACAAAACAAAAGGTGATTATTAAGCATGATTTAATAAAAATTATACCTGGAGTGCCAAAATCATACTTAATTTAATTTTGCTGCATGGATGAAACAGACATTCCCTCTCAAGTTTCTGGTAGAACCTTCAAGGGAATGTGGGCATAAAACGAAAAAGAGAAAGGGAGAAATAGGTTTGATTGATGAGTAAAATTGACTCTCAAATAATAATTTCTATTCTCTTCCTCTCCTTTCCCTTCTTTATAGGTGGTTTGTATCTTCTTCCCAATGATAACCAATTGCTATTTACTATTTTTGGGATCAACATTTATTTCTGTGCTAATTTTGGTTTATTTGTTGCAACTTGTTCATCATGTAATATGGTTGAAACTTTTAACCTTAATTTACATCAACATTGTTAACAACGTACGTGGCATTTGGTTTTTCAGTATCAGCATTAATTTCATTAGTTTGCATTTTTCATTTTCTGATATTAGTGAAGCAATTGTTGGGAAAAAGAAATGAAGGAACTATTTTTTTTTTCCTTCTCACACAATCACATTCGACAAACATCATTACTGAATAACTAAATAGGATCTAAATATATGCCACAGAACATAAATTCAAGTTAGTTGTTATGATTTAACAAATTTTCATCTATAAAGAGATATTCCCATTTCTCTTTATTTATTTACTTATTTTTAAAACCGTAAAGGTGGGAAATCAGTTTTGCAGTTTCCAAAAAGAAAAAAGAGATAAATCAACTTTTGGTCCTTGCCTTTAGCCTTTCTATTAATTTGATTCTTTAATTTTAATTTCTATCATTTCAATCATTAATGTTTGTTTTAATTATCAACTTCTTCCTTTAAATTTTGCAAGACAAAATAGCTCTAGAAAAGCTAATATGAAAATTGGATTGCTAGCATGAAATATACGTATGGATTAATTAAAACATATTAGCTAAATTTGTCAAGTCCTAATTACTTATCTGTTATTTATTTTATTATTTCATTATATTGTCATCAGTATCGTGTAAACTTGGTAGATTTGATTGATGTATTTTATTTAATTCACACGTACATTTCACATCATCTATTTAATTTCTATATCAGCTTGTTTTAAAACTATTTTGTCTTACAAAATTTAAAAGAATAGCTCGATAATTAAAACAAACATTAAGGATTGAAATTTGAAATGATAGAAATTATAGTCAAGGAATTAAGTTGACAAAACCCCCAAACCTAAAAAACTAAAAGTTGCTTTATTCTGAAAAAAATATGCACATGTTTAACAAACTTTTTTTTTTTTAAATATGGTTCAACAACTGTCTCCTAGATATTGAATATATGGAAATACAATAGAACAAAGTAGTTAATATGTGATACCTTTCCAATTCCAAATTAAAACTTTAATTTTCGAATTCCATATACAATTTATATTTAACTCCATGTATATTAAAAAAGACAAGAAAATTAGTACGTTTTTACTATTATTGAATACAACATAAATAAACATGATTAAGATTCTAGTTTGATTTTAAATTAGGTTGTGAGCTTATGCTTGTTAGAGTATATCATTTATGACTTATAAATGATACAACTTTTATGAATTTTATAGAATATGTAGATTTATATGATATAATGAGATTAGAATAAAGGACATGTAACTTTACAAATGATTAAGGGCATTTTTTGCCCACAAAATATTTTGACATAAGCACCAAATATCTTAAACTATTTATTAGAGTAATGTTGTCATTTGGATTAAAGAACATTAACATTGATAATTGATAAGTGCATATTTTATAATTAAATACATATAAATTTTGGTTTGAATTTATTTATAATTATTTAGATTTTATTTTTATTTATTTAATATTTATATATTTTTCTTCTATTATTTAATTATAAGATGAAAAGAAATTTTAATATAAAATTTATTCATATATTTATTTTTTATATTATGCAAGAAAATTATTAAAAAAAGAAGAAGGAAAGAACATGAAGATAGGAACAGATAAAAATATAAGTCAAATCTATCTATAAATATACAGATGAGGAAAGACGCGTGCACTGAAGGAAAAGAAGAAAATAAAATAAAAGATTATACCTAATATATATATATATATAAAAGGGACGCGACGGAGGAAGCAATTGTCACACGTGCGCGCGCGCGCGCGCGCGCACATATATATATAGAGACACCAAAGATTCCGGTGATGCGACATGATTTGAGCTACAGGACGCGATTTTCAAAGGAGTAAAAAAGGCACAACAAAAGATAAAATATTATACATATATATATATATATATATATATTTTAGAGTCTCACGGTGAACTAAGAAAGGAGAGCCCTCAGTTTGAATATAAATACCAAGGTATGTTAAATCGGA